TTTAAGTGATTGCTATATTTAGTCAAAGAGATAGCTTGTTTTGTGAATAACTTGCAGAGGATCTATGCTAGCTCTAGAGGGTAATGCCACTGCCTTAAATCGATTAACTTGGGGTTTACATGACCAAAAGCTGAGATACAGGATGCCTGAACACAGTAAGGCACAAAATGAAAAAACTTCCTCCAAGAAAATTATAACATCTCCTTCTCTGTTCTGAACTAAACTAAATAATTAAATGAACGAACCACCCTGATGAAAACCCCAACAAAGAAGCTTTACCCTTCGTCAAAGCTGTAATTTCTCTCAATCAGGTCATGCAATACAAACACGAGCTGCATACATCCTGCTTTCACTCCATGAGATTTCCCTTCTCCAAATCCTCTCCCTTGGCCACGGGAAGAGCCCCAGACCCCCTCCTTGGTCTGATACCTCCCATTAGACCAACAAATTTGCAATGTACAGTCCCAGTATTCCAAGATCCTAACTCCTACAGCAATCAACAGATTTTATCAGGAACCGTGCCCTGTCACGTACCCTACCTGCCTGCCCTCGTTGCCCTCAGCCCTGCTCTCGCCACCACCAGCCTATTTCACAGTTGGTGGCCAGTGTGGACCCTTTGCTGTTGCATAAGCAGGAAGCACCTGGGTGTTCCCCGTTTATAGGGCAGGTGGAAGCAAGGCTGTTGCTGCCGTCAGTGAAAACACAGCATTAGCCAGCATCCTGGCTCCTGGTGGGAAAGCATTTTATTAATCAAAAAAATACTTTCCACCCTGTGGTGTCTTGCAGACCTTTAAACTTGCATCTGCAAAAATCAGAGAAATTCTTCCGTCATTCTCACAACAAAGTTAAAAAACAGAAATAATTTTTAATACTTGAGGATTTTTTTAAACGAGAGAGAATTGGACAAGAAATCTAATACTGATGCAGTAAAAGATAAAAAACTAGTGAACAGATTCAAAGAGGAAAGTAATGTGATTCAGGATTTTGCTTGTAATCTATGAAATCATCCTCATCTGTGATATCTAGCTTTCCTATTCTAGGATAGCGTAGGTGTGTATTTGGGGCACCCAATGTGTCTACAGCATTGTCATGAAACCACTTCCTCTTGTATCGAGAGTGTCTGAGGCAATTAAAACAGCTCCTAGCTTTTATCAGCAATTTCAAAGTATCAATTTTTCCTTCCTAAAACAAATGACAACCTGAGACTAAGGAGGGATGCTGTTTAGTGATTTATAAAGACAGACAACTTGTCACCAATGAAATCTTCATATCATACCACACATTACCTATGCGTAAGAGTAGGAAGAAATATCTATAGAAACAGAATGGAATAAGCACTGACATGACTGCCGCCAATAGCACTTCAGGCCTTCAGAAGAAAAAGACAATTTTGAAACAATATACTTTTTTGTCAAGGCACAGAGCTTAAAATACCTGGAAAGTAAAACAGTGGTGCATCAAACCAAAAAACTTCAAGTCAGCAAAATGCTGGTGTCACATCTGCTAGCTCCACCCAAAAAAAAAAAAAAAAAAATTCCCTAAAGACCCCAAGCTTTTAAGTACCTCATTTGTGTTAATGACTCCATGAGTTCAAATGTGCTCCCATTTTAAGGTTGGATAATTACTGTTATGGTAATCAAAACATCATTTAGTGAATCCAGCATATCATGTTAAAAATAATGTAAATAATACTGTAAGCAGATAATTTAACTTGATACATGAAGACTTGCTCTCATTCATAGAAATGAAAATTTCTCCACAATAGTTAATATCTAACACTACAATCAAATGGAAAAAGTTCCGTTTTGAAGAAAAGTCTACAGAAACCCATGCCAAAAACATACATAAAATATTCTCTAGAATCTGTAATTTAATAAAATTTTGTGTGTCTATTAGATATCATAACTCGCCATTCAGAATCTGTACAAACTTGTGTTAACACACTTGCTCCCACCAGAAGTAACAAGGCTTTCCAAGGGCTGATTGGAATCCATGCCTAGACACACCTCCGTCATTTTAACACACGGAGTAATCAGCTTCATTTTGGGCCATTTCCTTATCACATACCTAGAAGTTCACCACCCCGTAAGCATTTTTAATATGGCAGTCGAGTCATTGTAACACGGTCACGCAGGGATACATGTCAAATGCTCCTGATACATCTTGCCTGGTGGGCAGACTAGCCAGCAGCGATGGAGGACACATTGGTCTTTCTGCTAGGCAAGTGAAAACATCCCCTTTAAACTGCTGAAAAGTTTTGACAGAAAAATCACTTTATGCTTGTCTTGTTTTCCCCAGCCACCGTGAGAGAGGAAATTGGCAGGCACAAACCACGGGTGTAGCTCATTACTGCTGTTACAGCTTCAGTTATTCACGTAAGTGCCTGGTCTGGTATGAAAAGGAAGTTACTCTCTGTATATGAATTGTTTCTCCTGCAACGTGCACAGCAATTCCAATATTCCCAAACCCTGAGCAGTCCCTCAGAGAAAAGGAGAGGAAAAAGAAAAGGCCTTTCACAAACACATTTACAGCCCTTACTGTTAAATTGGTCCGCTCACTACTGATACACAAAAAATATTGGAGAAAGCTAAATAGAAAGAATCAGATGGAAAATTTGGCAGGTGTTTGGAAAATAAAATACATAACAGAGACTGGGAAATGCTAGCAGGTTCTTTAAAAGGCCAGAGGAAGAACTGGGAGTGCTGATACCCAGTTTCGGCAAATCTTGAAGGAAAAATGCCTTTTATGAGTACTATGGTTGATTTTAACTAAAATAACTCACCCCCTCAAACTTGTCTGGGTCACTGTAGAAAGCATATCCTTTGGGGGTATTTGAGTCTGACAATGCTGATTCAAATAGATGACAGCACCTGCATTCGGGAAACATACATCATTACAAGAAAAATCAAGAGGAAAATCAACTGTACAGGCATTTTATATGCATTTTAAAAGATACAAATTCTCTATCATATAATAAAAGGAATACCCCACATTTCACGTGATTAGGATCTGTATGAGTCAAGGTTTACAGTCTTGCACTCAAGGCAGCCAAACATTAAAAGCCTGTGACTAAACAGAAGGGGGGGAAGATAGCCCTGCAAACTCTATTTTCTTACTGTGAACGGCTCGCGTTGAATCATCCGCTTGGGCCAGATAATGCTCGCACAAGCTGTCAGATAATGAGTTAAGCGTCACAAATGGAAGGCGCAAACCTTCGTCGTTAGTTGGGGAAAACAGTAGAAATGAATGAAATGGGGGTTTGTTGCCTCCCACACCAACCACACAGAAGCTTGTCTGTTTTGAGGATTCACGACGTCTTTGAGTGTGGGGTGCTCTGCCCACAGCACTGGTCACCTGCTGAGAGCTCACATTGAATTAGGTTATATTATAATTGGATTTTCCGAAGGCATCACATTAGCATTTTCCATGATCTCACCCTTATTAGCCAAATCACTAATCAGGAGTAGTGCAGTTATATTGTTTCCTGGTTAAACTATCTGCTGCTATAGTGTCTGTAAGCCAGCTCCAAATTCATGCAGAGATAAAAACTCCTCTCTCTCTAACAGAGACTCGGAAGTTCATTTTGTAGCTAATGTTGCAGTCAGATTCTAATTTTCAATACTTCATGAAAAAGCAATTTCTCTCTAGAGGCTGGTTGCTCATGTTCTTCCTGAGGTGGTATTCTAAGTTAGGAGTGTTGTTTCTTTGACCAGTGTATGCAAAAGCAGCATCGCTGTAAAGCATAACAGCAGAAAAATCCTTTCCCACACGCTGTTCCCCATTGTGTCCAAAATGAAATGCTGAACATATTTAATCCTGTAAGGTTATTATTTTAATGCACTGGTCTTTGTATATTGATGGGAATGCAAATACCTGTTCTAAAAGCAGAAATGACACATGCAGGAGATCTCTAATGACCCTGTCTTTGCACAGCTCAAAAAAGCTGTTTCTGTGGGAACTTAAACTCATATCAACTACTTCTGAGCTACAAGGAAAGCACACAGGACATCTCCTGTGGCCTTATGGTGCAAAAATCTCAGTTCGTTCTTTCAGGTAGGATCCCAGCAGGTTGGGTACCTGTATCCCCAACAGCTGCCCTCTTAAAAGCCTGAAGGGAAGAGACATTCTTGCAAGTAGATTAACAAGTAATGTTTGCTGAACATCCATTCACCCCAATTTTCTGAAAAAAATTCATGGTCTAAATACAATTCCATTTAAAAAGCCAGGTTTTATTCTCAGGTTGGAGATTACACAATGATGCTCAGATTCATTACAAGAATCGTTTGGAAATATAAAGCCATTTTTGCTAAGAAGTTAAACCCATTAAATATTTATACTAAAATTCTTCTGACAAAAGTAAGTACACACAGAAAAAACTGTGATTATGTTTTTCATGTAATTCTGGAGCCAAAAACAAAAGGAGAGCTGGCCTTGACTCAAAAAGGGGAGTAGACGTCTTCTACCTGGCCCGGTATTGGCGGTACCCTGCTTGCAATTACACAAATATGTTAAAACAGTGAAGCAGATTTCCTTTTTACCGAACAATCAAGAAAAAGAGTACAGAATTCAAGATGGTCTATCAACAAATCATTCCCTGGAATCAAATAAAAAAAAGACTATAATTCTCAAACAAAAAATATCACAACACTATTGGGCTTATAAGCTCTTGAATTCAAACCAGATGTGACTGTCTCTGAATCCCCAGCAATAGCTGCATCTTTTCTCATAAGGCTTTTTAACAGATTCTCATAGGCAGCACAAACAGCATCTTCAGAACAAAGGGCAATGAGGCTTCCTAGCAGAGTTTAACTGAATCCTGAGGATCACTAGCCTGTATGATCTGCTTTTCTATTGTCCTCATGAGGATTTCACCAGGCATAAATAACATGCACTGAAGAGATAAGGAGCTAGGGGCAAAAAAACCCCAGAACAAAACAGAATAATGAAGTTGCAAGACTAGCTTGCTGCCTTTGGTCTATACTCCTCCAGGTCATGCGCTGTCAGCGATGGGCTCCCTTCTCCGAGGATGAATCTGCAAAAATAAATCAATACAAATTATTCTGACATTGAGAAATACAACTCACTTATGATTAATTTCCCTCTATTTTGTTACACATAGGTACACATCCCCAGAGGCAATACTTTGCAGCATTACAAGTCTGTAATCAAACCAATACCAATGGCAGTAAGTGTGAAGAAGCAGAAGAGGGCAGGGATATCCATGTAGTGTACCAGTAACCTACCTCTCAGCTTTCATCTAGTCTCAATTGTTGATACAGAGCCAACAGTAGGGTCTAATAACCTAAAGCCCCCATGTAAAATCTTTCTAGACCTCTAAAAAGAACAGCTGACATTCAGCAGTGCTCATAGGTATACATTAGCATTTAGGTGCACCCAAGAGAGTAGGTATGACAGAGCAAAGAATTAGGTAGTAGCACCTACAGCTACAGGGGTGTCTGTGGTTCAAAAATGTGTTAGATAGTAACTCACTTGAGTTAGGAAAACAAAATAAAATTGAAGAAAGGAAATAAACTATTGCCAATGTAACACATACTTCCTTCCTGAAGTTTCAAAAGATTCTGGAAATGCTGTAACATGTCGCTAGTAGCACACACACAAGTGCACACAGTATTTTGCTTACAAGAGAAACATTAAGAGTGAAATATTTCCAGCAGGGTTTTGAATTTGCCTAGGAGAATTGCTCTGCAGCTGCTACACAGTAACACCATCATTCACTTCCAAACCCACAGTGCTGATGATATCCAAATGTACTTGAAAGAAAACTTGATCCAAAAGGTCCACATTTGTAGCAAGCAGCAGTACCATGAATCATCACTTTTAGTGTCATCTTTTCCTTACAGGTAGTATCAGAGCTGAAATTCATGTTATTTGTTCACAAAAGCCAGGAAGAGCAACAATTAACAGACTGGTTCTTTATGCAAGAAAGATAAATATAAGTATTTGTGTGTTCATTTCATGTAAACAGACACCTATAACAGCAAAGAGGGTCAAACAAAACTTTTCTAACAAGAAATGTGCTTCCAAGCTTCACATTAAATATTGGTATTCATATAACAATACAATTTGGAAAAAAAAAAAAAGAGAGGACTTGGATATTCAAACACCTCAGGCAGCTATACAGTGGGGTTGTCCTTCAATTATTTTTTTTCCTTCCCAGTCCCGAGTCCCACTGGGACACACTGAGGTCACCCTCCTTATGCCAAGATGCTTTTGGCTCCTGGTGCAAACCAGCAGACACCATGGTATTGCAAGTATGGCCTGCCAGAGAAGAAAGGCAAACATATAACATGTAGTTCCCAAAACTGAAGAGTCTCTCTCATCTACGACAGCATTAACCATTCAGAAAACCTTCTGGATATTTCACAGTAGGAGCAGGCTTCAGAGCCCAGCACAGAGAACTTTTACACTTAGAACACATACAAACAGGCAAAGGGAGGTGGAGTCCCTACAATGAGGACAGGTAGCACCTTAGCTGCTACTTTAACAAGCAAGTGGCATGAAAGGAAGTTTTACATCACTTCCTAAGATGATCAATGAGGAACTAAGGATATTTGCAGAAAACAGACGGATGCTTCATCAGGTCACCAGGAAAGAGAATTGTTTAATGAAAACAGCCGCCACGTCACCTATCACCAGAAGACCACCATCGACGCCCCCTCTCAAGCAAGTTTCCTTAAATGCCTTGATTCTTCCCTATGTTTCATTCTCAAAGGAAAAAAAATGCCAGCGTGTGTGAAGCCATTTAACATCTAACAGGTACTGAATGATAAATCCTGATATGTTGTTTCATAGAAATAAAATTATCAAATCACACAGCTGTTTAAATTACACATCCTGTTTGTCCTCACATGAGACTCTTCTGACTGGTATTCTCAAAGACTACAACACGCTCTGTGATTTTTAGCTTAAGTTAACTTTTAAAAGCAGTATCTTTTTTAAAAGGCAATTTCTTATGTTCCGAAGTCAGAAATTAAAGGTGTGCTAATGGCCTTTTTGGTACATTGCAGTAGCAGAAATCAAGTTGTATCAGTAAAAATCCTGAAAATAATCACATTTTCATTCCCAGTGGGGATGGCAGGCTGGTAATTAAATCTGTCTTGACTAGTTGGGACCACTGATAATTTCTAACATAATGTATACACCGAGGACAGGCTAATACCAAAAATGTTTAGGGTCTGGGATTTTTGCCAGGAAAAATAAGATGTCAGTTAATTGACTTTTTTTCTGTCTGGTTTTCATTGAAGATCTCCACAGATCCATTTTTCAGATTTTCATTCCCCCCCACCCCTTCCCTACAGATGTCATTATTTTCAGTGGAAAACCCCACACTTCTCCCTCCTCTTCTTCTAATTAGCTGTAATTATAACAACATTATAGCCACAAAGTAGGTACCTTGAGGGCAAAAATCTGGAAAGCAGCAGAGTGTGGAAGGAAACAAAGAGATGCTATTATACTGAAAGTAAGCATACACGTACTTCTTCATGTGCTCATCTGGGCATCCTTAGGGCTTTGCAGGTTGATTTCTGCTTTCCCTAGGCGTGCCAAGACGAGGTGGAAACCAGCTGTTCTCTCTACTGAGAGGTAGGTGAAGGGCTACATTTCGGCTTCTCCCTGTGCCTACTAAAACTGGATCCAAAATAAAAATGTACAGTTTAGGTCAAAGAAATCTGGTAGTTACATTTGATGTTCTGAAGGGGTAAGTGGGGTTCTTAAATACATGCACCGAGAATCTTTCTGCCAAGAAAACAAATACAGTGAGATTAACTTTGGAAGTGAAAAAGGGAATACATGCCAGCGGCTGTGGCATGCAAAAGTGTTCTTGCTCTGAGTAGGCTTTGAGCAATAAACCTCTTTTCCAGAGAATATTTCATTAAAAAACTGGGTTCAGGGAAAATCTCCAAGATCAATCTTTTTTTCAACTGTCTTTACAATTTTGCACAGCTGGATAAGGAAGTCAACACTGCATGCCAAATAAAGTGACATTAAGTACACTTGCTGGAAATCTTTCTGCCTTGCTCCTTTAAAAGAAAAAAACAGAACGACAAAAAACCAGCCACCAAGAACAACAAAAATCAGAAACCATTTCCAGGAATGCTGAGTGACAGAGCACGAAGACACTTAGGAGCTAATGTCCCTCCAAAGACAGCATTGCTCGTCAAACAAGGCTAAGCTAGAAGAATTTAAGCACAATTTAGGACCAGGTTTTCTGCACGACAAAGTACCTGGGGAGGGACCAGCCCAGAGGCAGGCAGGCAGAGTTATTCTCTTAGAAATACATCGCCAGTGCAGTGAGACATCTTATCCCATCGTCCTCTTCTGTAATCTCTACCTGCTTCCCATCGCTTACCTTTCCACATTGCCCTTCTCTCTTTATTGTGACCTTCAAGGAAACACCTTTGCTTTTTTTGGAAGCCTGATGATTTCCCCTAATCCTGCTTTGCAGACAGGTGCTTGCCCTGGGAGGACTCATGGGCAGTCTTTCCCTAGCAGATCGGTCTGCATTGCAGCCCACCTACGGAGCACAGTTGGACGCAAAACGCTCCATCTCTTCACCCTGCCTGCTTTCAGCTGGAGTATTTCACGTTTGGGAAGATATGGAGAAGAAATACTTATGTTCACAGACAAGCTGAATTCTGGTATGAGTTATCTGAGTTTTTAAGCAGTTTAACAAGAGGTACAACATGGAACTTGCTGGATACAAATGGGAAGAAAATGCTAGTAAAATCAGACCAATAAACCCGAATTCAGCCCACACCCTCCTATTTGCAAACCGTCTGTTGAATATTTCTGGCTTCAGTTTGGATCCCAGTGGTGGTGTGGAAAACTGAACTCTTGATGAGAGTGCAGCACGAAAGAGCAGGAGGAGAGGAACTGTGTTAAACCCTCACCTTCCTGTGGCTCTGCAGACACACAGATGGCAGACAACTGCATCCTGCAGTGCAGCCTGGCATGAAAACACCCAAAACCACGGCTATGGCTTTAGTACCTGTTGCACTGGGAATGTGCAAGACTGTGGAATACATCAAGTCACTAAACACATCATCAAGGACAGAATTTTTATTCCCATCCTTTTTTCAAAAATTATATTTTATGTGGTTAGTAATTCTTCACTGTCCCATGCAACCCCTAGCAGGTCAAAGTTGTTTCCATGCTTGCCAACAGAGAGGTTGCGGTTTTTAACCTGTGAAGCCTGCTAAAAACATGTCTAGGGTCCCAAAGCCAGAGGGGCCTGCATGGTTCTTTGTTAACTTTTAAGTAAACTCCCTAAAGCCAGAGACATATTTTTTAAAAACAAATTGAGTGGCTTTATGCAGCCAGGGGGATCATCAACTTCTGGTTAAAGGAGGCAATTAAACAATAACTGGGGGAAACTGGACAAATAAAAAAATGATAAAATAATTTAAATCTTGATTACTGAATCAAAAATATAAAGGAAGCTCAAGTCTTATCCACAGAATCCTTTCCTGTAAGCCAGAATGTCTACGTACAGGCAGTAGTTTTTATTTGACAGCTGGAGAGGGACAAGGACATGTAGTGATAGGGCAAGGGGTAATGGCCTTAAGCTGAAGGAGGGGAGATTTAGATTAGATATTAGGAAGAAGTTCTTTACTGTGAGGCTGGTGAGGCACTGGAACAGGTTGCCCAGAGAAGCTGTGGAGGCCCCACCCCTGGCGGTGTCCAAGGCCAGGTTGGATGGGGCTTTGGGCAACCTGGGCTAGTGGAGGGTGTCCCTGCCCATGGCAGGGGGGTTGGACTAGATGATCTTTAAGGGTCCCTTCCAACCCAAACCATTCTGTGATTCTATGATTTTACTTATTGAGGTGTACATAGAAGTAAAAATGTTAAGTAAATGTAATCAAACACACATACCAGGATTGCTAGTTGTGTTTGCTCACCTCCATGTATTCATACACACACACTCCTACCATCACATTTCCATGCCCTACATGAACCCAAGGGCATGCTGATGTGATTTCAAGGCTGAGCACTGGTCTCTCAAGCTGCAGCAGCCAGCCTGTGGCAACTCTGGGAATAACTGTCTCTCTCTACAGAGCAACTTCAGCCTTATGTACCACAAGGGCTACAAGACCCTTCTCCTCATCCAGATTCTTATTTGGTCCACAGATACTTAACTGTAAAGCATAGATCACTGAAACCAACTCCTTATGCTCTTTTCAGCAGAAGCCCCTAGATACTCTAGCTGCAACATACAGACACACACAGATTACTTCACCAACAAGCAGCGTAGGGTAGCTCTGAGGTGTTTTAGTCAAAGAAGGAAGGACTCCTCGGCACATCGTTGAACCTCACTTAACTGATAAATGTCTGGGGAAAGAGGGAGCTAATGCAGCCCTCATTAAGTAACAAGTGGTATTCACTACTTCAAACTCTGAACAGACACGTAAGGTTTTTGCACAAAGCCACACTTCATAGCTGTAATCTTAGCAGCTCCCTTTAGCTTCACGTTCTTCATAAAACTAAATTGCAAGGATTTCATTTAGATAATCACCATTGTCTTGCTACTGTGGAACATCTCTTGTTCATTTCTCATTTTGGAAGGAAAGGCTTTACAGAAAAAAGAACGGGGTTTAGAGGTTTTTTTGGGGTTTTTTTTTTCCTCATTTTGTCCCCCTATTCCTCTCATCCTTCCTGTATTCTGATGAAGTTATTTCTAGGCTAATTAGAAAGGGCTCAAATCAAAAACTGCCAGATCCAAACCATCACATTACCATGGAAGTTCAGTGCTTGAGACAACATTGGTCCTCAGACTTGTGCATAAGTGATTCTCTGCCAACTACTAAAACATAGATCTGTGGGGAAAACAACAGATTGGAGTAGAAACTTTGGAAAATTGGATAAATACAATTGATCAAATTTCTGTAGCAGATTTTTAAAAATTTTAAAAATATTTCAGTGATTACCCTATTTCTGAGAATATGGGCAAAGGGGTGTTTCTTACAAAAAGACGAAAGACAAACTAGGCTTCACAGAGGCAGCAGTCCTTTAAGATAACCTTCTTTGAACAGGGAAGCAGCTAAGAAAAGTGGTGCCAGTCAGGAAAAAAGTACAGATATGGTTAGGTGAGAAGCAGAAAACATGAGATTAGAGCTGGTTACAGAAGGACCCGGAGAATGTAAGTCAAGTGCCAAAGCACCTGGGTGCAAATAACTTCCTCCGTCATAAAGGAGGGGAGAGAGGGAGGAAAACACAATCTAGGTACATCTATCCAAGACTGCAGAAAAAATTCCTCCTTGGTGACAATATGCCTTTGCAGTCCCAATGACATTACAGCAAACTAGTTAGAGTTGATGTAGAGACTCTCCTAGATTTCAGATATCTTTAAAACAGGCTTTTTTGGATGGTATATCATAAAATAAAAAAAAAAAATTAAAGAATCAATTTCCCAATTCATTTCACTTATGTTCAACTTTAAAGTTACAACCTGTGATCTGTATCTTGTAATTATTCCTTAAGAAAAAATACTCAGTGTCAAAGGAAAATTTGTTTAGTTAAGGAAAACTTAAGGGTTTTCCCTAGAAACATCCATCTACTGAAATAACATTCCTAAAGGAAATCATTTCATGCCTAAAAGTTGCTGCACTGCTGTTTTGTTTTTCTATAATGAAGCCCTGTCTCAGAAGAGATAAGATTTATTGGTCAGTTGATTACCAAATGAGGAAATGTAAGATGAGAAATGAGACTCGGGAATGCTGTAACCATTGTAATTAGCACTCATACAAAACAGAAGACAAACTGGAACATCAAGAATACTTTCATCCTGTATTCTTGGAGTTTCTATCTTTGAAACCTTTCTCAAAACACTTACATTCAAATTTAACATAGATGACTATATATAATACATAAATCCAGTGCCTTTTAATTGATAGTAGAAGTTGGACTTCTCTGTGATCAATGGCTAATAAAATAATCTTTGTTTTATCACCAAAGATAAAAAGAATAAGAGCCCCGAAGATGTTAAAACAGACATCCTACACAACGCTATGATGGGACTCATTGAGAATTCCTCTTTACAGGGACTGAAGAAAAAAGAGAAGGGAAAAGTCTCGAAGTGTCTTACTCACTGTCCCATCAAGGGGGGGGTATTTGGATGTTCTGGACAAGGAAGAGTAATAGAAAGACAGAGCACGGATTTTAAAAAAGTTTTTTCAGGGAGCCAAGTCATATAATCATGGAGGGTAAAAGAAGAACTCTCTTTCTTCAGATCCCCTAAGAGTACTGCCCTGGACCACAGCTGTGGTTGGTGGCCGGACTTGTTTCATTCACTGTTACAAACATCCTCCCTGTATTCTCTGGTGCAGTAAATTACTTTAAGTGGGAGGAACTACAAAATTAATCTCCTGTTCTCTCTTGCAGTCACAACACTACTTTCCCTATGACCACATCAGAACCCACCAAAGAGTAACCACGTAATTATGGGAAGCTTGTCCTCCATTTTAGTGAGCTACGTTCCCACCCTACCCTCTCCTCTGTGCAAATGTGGACGATGATAAATAACGAAATAATTCTTCTGTAGCCATCTTCTTCTCAATGTCACAAAGCAGCTTTTTGGTGATGAGTCCCTGCCACCGCATATGGTACCCACTTGCACCGTGAAATGGCAGACACGTGAAACACACACTCCTGCAGTTGCATACCAGCAAACTTTGCTGGTCCCCTGCAGCACAGGATGCTGCATCATTCATCTCAGATGGTACCTCTACAGAAGGGCCACAAGACATGAGAACAGAGCAAAACACAAAACTTTAGGTGGCATAATTCTCAGGCATTTTTGAGAGAAAAGGGGCAGTTTAGGAGAGTTTCTGAAGCAGAAGATCCAGAGGGGCGGATTCCCACCCAGAACAACGTCCCTTCTTTCTTGTGCTCTCTGGCATCCATCTTTCAAGTGGTCTGAAACAAGTACTTCAAAACACCCAGGAACTTAGCATGATTTCAAATCCAGGTACAAATATTAAATACTCCTCCTGGTTTCCAAAACAGTTTACAGCGACACTGTGGCAACTAATTAATTTTGTCCATTTACATGGTTTTATTTTCAGACCTGGCACCTTGACTTATCAGAGCAGATCAAGAATAGCAATCGGCATTTTGCTTTTAAAGTGAAACAATATCCTAAAGCCTCTACTCTGTTACCAAGGGCTTCTAAAATCTGCCCCATCTTGGCCCCTGGGTTTGGCACATCATTAAATTCAGTCTTAGCTGGAGCAACAGAAGCTCTAAGGACAACTCTGAGGATGTTTTTTCTTTAGGACTATTACTAGGTGTTTAAGGAGGCAAACGTGTGATTCTATAATGTGTAATAGAGACATTTTATGAATTGCAACGAAGCTGAAAGCCATAACATAGATGATATTACATTAGAAACCTCACCTGTGTTGCACATACACCAACCTCAGCTCTCTGAGGCAAAGCTGTCACGTAAGCACTCAACAGATAAATACGAAAGTTTACTCTACATCCCTCAAAGGCCCCCATTTAAAAAAAAAGTACATTTAAAATATGCTCTGTACAGCTGTTTTCTTACCATTTGCCTTGTGCTGCACATCTGGCGGAAACTGGTCAGGAACATACCACTGATAGTCTGGCTGCACAGAACAATAAAACATTATTACAGCAATATGGACTTCATAGACACTTCAAACAAAAGAACAGTGACATGATAAAAATGTAATTGTGCTGTGAAGTTTTTTATTAGTCATACAAAAGTAGTTTACAAAAAAAATCTTATATTTAGCTTTATATTTCCACTGAATGAGTCTTTCAGCTTGCTTCTTTTTTATGACATGTGGTTTAGAAGCTGCACTCATTAGAAATATTGGTGTAAACTTTTCTAGATCCCACAAATCAAAAGAAACATCAATAGAAACAAATCAGATTTTAAAAGGCCTAAGGAATAAAGTGCACCAGAAGATACTGGCATCACATTATCTGTACTAAAGAACCCTGGAGAAACCTGGTACACATGGACCTGACAGGTGAAGCTGTTCCAGTCTGAATACATGTAACATCTGTAACATGCTTCAGAGTGACAGGCAGGAATAACCCTTTTAATAAAGTTCTCTCCCCTCCTCCCTTCCCCACAGGCTAGCATTAGTGTTACTATAACATTAGCTGTTATCGAATAACTTCTTGAAAATACTGTGGGACAGGAAAAATTCCCATCTTTCTTGGAAGAGGAAGTATTGGGAAGGTTATGTCCATGCAAACATAGTTTTGTCCAGGGAAATCCTGGAAGAAAGAAATACTGCACTATAGCTTGTATCACACACCGTGGTAAACGAGTAGCAAATTATCACTACAGAAAACAATTTTGGGACCAGACATTTCAGTTGAAGCTGTATTAAGCTATCTGGTTTAAGTAGTACATGCAAGCTTGTCAAATTCCAGGTAATTACTGTTTCAAATTAGTTAAACTGAGAAAATAATTCTTGTTTTGCAGAAATTACTCTGACAAAATCCTGAGTAGTCCCAAGGAGACTCTTAGAGATTTCAACTTGTAGAGAAGGAATTTCATAGACTTCTAAAGAGGTTTTCCTTAAATTAATATGGCAGGATGAAGCCGTAGATACAGAAAACAGATTTAACTTTTACGTATGCCGCTATTCACAGTTACATAGTAGTAATCACTCTCACACTGTCAGGAAAAAAAAAGAGCTATCCTATTTTCACTTAAATTATACCATCCACAGGAATTATCAACTAATTCTGTGCTTGTGCACAAACAAAATAGGCTTTGATACAAAGCAGGACTCTCCTTTGCTTTAAGCACAGGTACTTTTTCCACCAATGGTTCAAGATACACTTATTTGCATTACTTTTTTGAGTTTCTGTTGGATTTTCCATTCTCTGATCTACTCTTTCATACTGAATTACACTATGCAAACTTGAATGAATTTCAGAAACAAGAGGTGTATTTCATGTCAGACTAAACAAAATGTTTCTACTAACAATGTAAAAAGGAACAAAAAGGTGCAAGACGTAAGAAGAATGAAAAAGCAAAAGCACAGACTAAACACAGAGGATTACGTACGTTAACTCAGGACACTCATTAAATTCTAACACCTTTCTTCATTGCTAAACAAATTGCTCAGGGAGGTATCAAAAGCTCAGAGCAGCAACACTGTACTCACACAAAGAATTTCAAAGAAAACTCAGAATGAAACTAGGAGTTACAAAGCAACCAGTCAAACTGACCCCGGCACTCCGGCAGGAATGGCAAAGTTGTAAACCCAGTGATCCCTTGCAGAATTAGAAACCCAGATGATGAAAGTTCAGGGAGAAGAGCCAAAATAATCTGGGACAATGTCCAAATTGCAGTGAAAAACATTCTGCAATACTTCCAACTCTGATAAATAGGCAGATAAGCACACTCCTGAAGCATAGAAATGACTTGTTTGACCACAGCTTTTCCGCTGGATTTCTACAGTCTGAAAGCCTTACATACATTTTGCAAAAATTTGGCTATAATTTCCTAAATAATGAGCATCTTTCCATACATGACAGCTTTATAGCCAGAAACAGACATTGTGTGTTTAAAATTACATTCACCATGTTTAAATACATTCTCACTAGATTTGAACAAGCACAGTCCACTTAGATAACCCAAAGCACTTCAAAACTATCACTCTTTGAAGCAGTATTTTCCTTGAAACAGATAACTCCCCCTCACATAACCTGTTCTAGTCCAAAGTTATTCTTCTTCATGCTGAGGAAGAATAGGACCCTGTTGTGTGTCAGGAAAAAAGGCAGATTTCCCATTGTGTTAGCCACACTCAGACATAAATTCCACTTTGCTGATTTTTTAATTTAATTTTGTTTTTTTGCAATACATAGGCTTGCTTGGGAAAATTGCATTCCTAAAGCATTCACAGCCAGAGTGTCTCACCCTCAGTAGAACCTTATTCCTCACGTAATCTCATTTCACAGCAGTGTACCAGAGGGAAGGTACTACTGGGTACAAGCGACAGCATCTGGGATTTTGCCCTTGCAGTTTAATAGCAGCATTGTGAATCCCGCCAATAGCTTGTCTGCCTGCTCCAGAAGGCATACAGGGAACCTGGGATTGTGCAGTCTGGCTACAGTGGTATTGCCTGACAGTAGCACAGTTATATTACCTATGAATACAGAAGCCATAAGTGAAGAAGGAAGAAAGTAATTTTCCAAAGATAGAGACAGAGAAAGAAATACCCAGTGTAAGATACGAAGTAAGACATATTAGTCAACAAGCTTTCTTAGACTGAATAGAGGGAAGAGACCAGAGTAATGCTGACCACAGCTATATTCTCATTTTTGTCACTATCATTTATGTTGAAGGCCCAGAACTGGGCTCCAGAGAGCAGATCCACATTTATGAATTTGGGTAACTACATAGCTAGAAAGGGCCCTGAGTGTGTGTTGAAGTAAATTAATCTAAGAAATCAAACAACCTTATTTTTTTAATTAAGGAATGACCACCAGTATCATTGAAAACAAATGTATAATAATCTCCTTTTTCTTCCTAGTAGTATTATAGATAAATAGTATTTGCCAAAGTAAATTTAAAATATACAAGAATATATGCTTAAAGTATAACTCATCAACCATATATTTAAATTGCTGCAATTGTTCCTCTGTGCACAGATTTCTGTTGGTTATGCTTTGATTTGTACATGGCAGCACTCTGTGCAATTCAGTACCACAGACTCTGGAACAGCAAGGAAGAAAAAAACCACAAGTATCCAGAGAAAAATCAGCATTTTGGGGCAGATAGTAAGGGAAGAGAGACTGTACAGAGATTACCAAGGCTGTTCCAAAACCTACGGCTAATTCTAAAAGCAGTAAAAAATCTTGATCTGAAACCAACAATAAACTAAGAAACAACAGATTTAGTTACTGGTGAGGATGGCACTGTGATAGCACCACATTATTCTCCTGTGGTCACCATGCTGTGAGAAAATCAGTGCCCTTGTGAAATGGGAGATGGTGGGAACCTTACTGAACGCTGTTGCTGCTCGTGTGCCCTGCGAGACGCTGGATGTACTCGAGGATCTTGATAGTGAAGAACCAACCCACAATTCCCATAATTAACACATGGTGAGAGGAAGAGGGGAGGTGGGTAGCTGGGCTTCTCAGGCTGCACTGGGAAGTCTTTTGTCTGTCAAAAAATAAGAAAAGCAAGAAGAAATGCATTAGCAGTGCCAACAGAATATTCACGTACAAATTCATCAGTAAAAAACAACAGGGTAGAAACCCTCCTCTCTCAGCATGGGTCACAATGCTGCTCATTCAGCCCCTTCAAACTGTTCATGATTTAAAAAATTATTTAAGAAAGCTGACTTCTGCCACACCAGAGTCTTGACCCTTTTTATGCAAGAAAATACCAGTTTCAAGATATGGCAAGCAGATTTCTGTGTGTTTTCTATATTCAAGAAACATTTTCATTACACACAGTAGCTTTCAATTGTTTGAAGCAGAACTACATGAACAGGCACTTGCATAACAAGAAAAATAAATTATTTTGGTAAAGGACCAAAGTTGATGGCCTCGAGATTAGGGTTTGCCTTTTCTTAGGCTCTCTGTGTCCCAGCAGAGTCAATGGGAATTTGCCTACGGACAGAGCAAGGAATGGTAAAAGACGATTAACGCTCTATGATTCTATGAGTCGCAACTAAATAATCTGACTTAAAAAACTAATACATATTCTACATGGTTCCTCTCACGTTTAAAATCCTTCACAAGCTCTGTTTAATCAAATCCCAAGGCAGGAAAAGGTGAACAATATGATCTCTAGTGTAAACTTCTGGTGCAATGCAGGGACAGTCAAGTACATACACATTACACAGCATTTGTACAGCCCTTTGGGTGTGCTGCACATGTGCAGTGCTGTTGGCATTTCTCCTGGTCCAGAGCAGCTGGGGAGGAGTGGGAAAGGCATTTTAGCCCCGTTTACAGTCCCCCTCTTCACTGTCACTGCAATGAGAGGTTCTCACAGCATCCATTGACCAGTTACGCTTGTGCGAGAAATTCAGTCTTTTATAGTCTCTAGAGAATACAAAATAGATAAGAAGGTGTCTTTGAGTAGTCTATCTCCTACAAAAAAAATTCTTTACCTTATTGAGCCACCCATGAGTGTGCTGGTGTGTGGGGGAAATACCTGAAAGTTATTGCGTGCAACGCAAACAGATTTGTCCAAGGTATTTCTATATGTCTGGGATGCCCTGAGTGGCAAATCACAGCTTTCCCTCTGGCATTGCTAATTTCACACTTGCATGAAATGCTTCCAAGTACCCATAAAAGCACTGACAAGTCTGGGGCCGTACTGCAGCAGCACCCAGCATCGGCCAGGATGTCCAACCTGCTCTCCACTCCCAATGAAGCTGATGGGAACGAGGGGCACTTGACAACACCTTGCCTCTGATACTATTGTAAGACTCTTCTGGTATCAATGCATGACTTGGTTGAGAATAAGCCAATACTGAAGTTTCTGTTTCACAACAATGCTGAGGAGGACAATAAATCATCACAGAACATTCTGGTAATCAGTCATTCTTTTAAAACATTGCACAATTTTGTCAAGACAGGAAACCTCGAAATTTCATCATTTTTAAAGGGGATTGAGAAAGCTCAGAGTTTTGCATGCCATGATTTTACTATGGCTTCCTGAATGTCTGTGAACAGAATACTGACACTACTGTCAAGAGATAGAAAGGATGTTGCAACAAAAAATTATTGCAGTGGCTGCTCAGTTAATTTGGATGGAGACAATTTTTTTTTTTTCCTCAGTGATATTAACATTACTCTGTAATTCCACTGCAGAGGTCAGGATTCATTAGAGAGGCTTTTATTTCAAAAGTTGGTTTGATGTTACAACTCTTATATGAAGTGCCAGTGAAACAATCAACAGTCTTCTGGAATTGTTTTTTGTTTCCCCCGCCTTCATTTTAAGATACGTTTGAAGAATTTTTGCAATAAATACTCCCTTCATCTACTTAATTTGGAAGTCATCTCTAATCATTTCTCATCTTCTTACTGCATTACTTCAGAATGATTTCATCCCAGGTGGTGACCTCATAAAAATCCGATGTCAATTAATGGAAGCCAGAAAGCCTTGGGTTGTGTGGAAAGTGAGAAAATAAAAATAATACACACATGTGCTGGCAATGGTAACTTTCTTTTGACTCATACCTGAGAGTTTAGTTTCTTCAGTTGAGATTGTAATCTCTCATTAATTTTCTGCAATGCTTCTTTCTCCTCATTAAGTCTTTCTCTGTCAGATCTCTCCTTTCTGAAGTCTTCTTCATATATTTGTACCTGCAATCATTAGGATCGAGTATGTGAATTTCAGCAGTCACAATGGAAAGTTTCATCCACTTTGTCATTTGGTTGCTTTTTAAACACTGGCCAAGCAGCAGGGTGCATTCCAAAAGGATCCTTCCTCTTTACAATCCTGCAACAAAAAGTTTCCCTCGTCTTTTTTATGACTAAAGTGACAAGCAATGGCTATTCTCCAATAGCACCTGTTGATCAAAACAGTCCGCAGCTTCAGTATTCATAGACCCTTGTAATTTAAAAGGCTGAGTGGCAGATATCAGTTTTAAATATTATAAATAAGATAGTAAATACTAAAGGCATTGATCTTTTTAAGGGATAAACAGTAGTAGGACAAAAATTTTACCAACATTTTTTCCAGTTTTCTCTTCAATTAGAGCACTTTTAACTCCTCTCCGTATCTCAGATGCAAGCAGTTAGCATCCTGGTGGAGATGGGAGGTGCTGACACAGCACAAAAAGCTGACTTCTAGCACACAGTCTGACAGAACGTTATCATCTTATCCAGCCTAACGATGAGCCACTATTGTCAAATAACGTCCTGCCCTTTTATAGCCTACTGAATACTGTTGGCCTTGACCCTGCTTTGCTTTACGCCTTTTCATAGCTGTCTGCAGCTTTACCTTACCCACTGTGCTAGCTGTCTACCCAAGGCGTGGCCCAAAGGACTAATCCGTGCAGAATAAGTGATAGTATTTAGACCCGTGGTCACCTATTAATGACCAGAAGACTTGGACTAGTCAGGACTGTCAAGGAATTTAGACCTTGGCTGGAGCACTGTGGAAAAAACACTGTAGATTATTGTGCCCTAGGTGTTAGAAACTGTATCTGGAAAAAATAATTGGCCCTTGTACCTTTTGTCTGCAACATAGGACTTCTAATTCATCCTCTTAAACCGCAGGCCAAAGAACCCACCTGTCTCAGTGTAGAAGCAAAAGTGTATGTTATGTATACAATTCAAAATGGACATACAGAGGTTTGACCCTGTTCCTAGAAGATAAGCTGCCTTTCAAATACTGAAGGATGCAATGGCTTAGCTCTTTTTAAGTTGCCAGGAATCATAGCACTTCATCCCACTAAAAAAATATCCAACCACCCCAGGCACAGACAGCAAGCGCATGGATTCAGAAGCAAAACACAAATCTATAAATTAATTGGTGTTAAGCTGACTAGCTTAATTCTTCAGCTAATGGGGAAGCATCCACCTGGTAAGCAGCTGGTGGCACTTCTACTGACAAATAATAGCAACAGGGAGCCACCACCAGAACTTTCAGAAGTCCTTTCATGTCCTCTTGGTTGGTCACTAAAGCCCACTGACAGCCTATTTCCAAGGAACTTGCTTGCTGTGGCTCATGCCCTGCCCATTGTACAGATCCAGTCTTCCTTTTGCTGGCAGCAGCACTATGACTTCACAGGAGGACTAAAGAAATGTTAATACCTCAGGGGAAGAAAAAAAGTGAGCACAGGGCTCTCTCAATTATTTTCACGACTTGTCTGTTGCAGCTAATTTTTGCAAGGTTTTTTTCAGACCCGATGGTGCTCCACTAGATATAACCCCCCTCCTGAGTAACACTGTGTGAAAGGAACAAAGGCTTTCTGTGTGGCCACGTAGAGACTCAGCTCCACAGCCCGTGCTTGGAGGAGGTGTGTGCACCCCTGACCCTCCAAAGCTGTTGCTTGCGAAAACCTAGGTCTCTTGTATCCCTGCCCATCTACACACTTCTCAATATTTCCTCATTTCTTCTCTCCCAATTCCCTCTCTGCTATCCCACTTCCACTCCCCAGCTGTACAATCTGCTGAAGCTGCAAGGGAACCACTTTGTCAGTTTTGCCATACATTCTGTTGCCCCGAGAAAGAGGGGGACACCTCCCAAGGAATGAATGCCTTCATCTCTTCTGTCGTGGCCAGGGATGAGCTGATGACAGCTAAGTTCTGGTGAGACTCTGTCACGTCACTGTTTGTCCCATGAGTCCCTCCTCCATACAGTTAGAGCCTTCTGCTCCATTTCGTGCAGAAGGAAGTCTGTACTCACTGAACTGATTTATACAACTAGAAAAAGACATTCATAAAATGGATACCCCATGAGAATTCTGAAAAAAATTGGTTTACTCTATTTTATTGTGTAAAATGTAATAACTCATTACTGTACAATCAAGTGCAGGATTTTATTCTCCAGCATGTGGCAAGCATTACATTAGAGAGCAAAATCTGGCTCTGCTGTCAAACGTGACAGAAACAAGTATTTTATTCCCATTGAATAAAATTCCCATTCTGATCACATCCATTTGTGTGTCAATAATGTTAACCCTAACACTGTCCAGGATGACAGACCTAAAATGTAAAATTATCTGAAAAGTATCATGTTTTTAAACAGATTCTTTTATATGGAAAGAAAAAGAATGCACAAAGCACTTGAATTGCCCAGAACAAAGATTAAAAAATAAATACACTTCTCTATAGTGATTGGTATGCAGGTTACAGATGCAAATGTTTTGTCTCACACTTTGAAAAATTGCAATGCCAACACTCTAGTTTTCCAAGACTAGGATTCGTAGATAAACCACTAAACTATCATCTTCTAAGAAAAAAGCAGCAGAATACACAATCAGTAACTCATGAAGTTTAGCATTCCCTCTGGATGAAATTCAGACCCTAGCAGAGAACTGGCAGGACATTTCCAAGAGTTAGGAGAGCCGTTCTGCTGCTTCAAGTCCTACACAATTCCTTGCTCCAGTCCTTTGCAAGGGCTCGGTTTCACTTCTTGGACACTGCTATGATGACAGCAACTTAGGAAACACCATTTGAACGGGTTATGGCTAAACTGGTTCTTCCTTTCAAAAGCTGTACCTAGCAAGCCTACCAGACACAGTTCTTGGGAGAGAGAGCAAAATTATGCTGTATGAAAGGCTTACTTCCAACTGTTCTCACCTGCTGTCTGAGAACGTCAAGTTGGGTTCTCATGTCCTCAACGCTGTTCCTGTCACCGTTCTCTGAAGGAGTCCCAAGAACAGGTGAGCGCTGTTTTTTCAACACATCCAGAAGGGCCTGCAATGTCAAACAGCAAAATTACTAAACAGAGATTTACGACACATCCCCCCCCCCCAAAAAAAAAATTAAGTTATTAGAACATTTTCTCTATAAACAAACAGATTAGAGAGAGTCACAGACTTGAGAGGGTTTTCTCTTCCCTTGCAGTTGCTTCAATTCTATACACTGGGTATAAACCCCATGAATAACATATATGCATGACTAGGTTCAAATTTTTAAAGTGCCCACTCTACATCCATGAATTTGAGACAGTGTCATTTATGGAACTGTGTTTTTACTTATAACTATAACCAACATTTACCTATGGAAATCACAGCTGCAAATCTCATTCAAACATACCATTTCCCTGTGCAAGTCAGAATTTGGGAAAACAGAGACAGGTGTCTAAACTCAGCTGAGGCCAAAACCAAGCAAACAAAAAACCCAAGAAAATAAAAGCAATATGCAAAGATGGCCTAAAAATGTGACTACAGTTAAGTCTGAGTGAAACATTTTTGCACTAAATGTACAAATTTCTTCAACTGGAACCGAAGTAAACCCTCCCGTTGAGGGGAAGTTATGTAGTCTCTATAGTTTGACACTAGAGGGAGTTATGAATACACACACTACACCAATAATGCTTTTACTTTATTTTTCAGTTAAATTTAGTTTTATTTAACTGAAATTATTTATTTTTATTTTAGTTAAACTCTGCCATAGTTTTTTGCAGATTTTATTTAGCAGTATTACACAGCTCTCCCTTGGGCTGGGCTAATTTTTAAATTGCTCTTACCCCTCTCTATCAATAACCACACACTACACTCACATATTTCTTATTTACTTTAGTACAAATATTCACCATTCAGTACTTTTCAATGTCTCTCACATAAGATATGAGCTCAGCTAGCTTCATTCATTTTAGAAAGCTCAATTCCCACTAATCTCAGAATTATGGAGAAAAAAATAGAAAATCCAGAAAATTCAATCTTCAAAAGGTTAACAGTAGAGAAAAATATGGTGAGGATTTTTTTAAACTGCATTTGGAAGCAATACTGCAAGACTCTGTTTTATTTTAAATAAAATAAGAAACTGCAGAATGAATAAAGCTGAATTGGTTTAGGGTCATACTAAACCCAGATCAAAATCTTTGAGGAAAGATTGTAAGAGACATTCTAAGAAGCGCTAGGTATGGAGGGGGGGAGTAAAATTTTGTAATGTTGCTATTAGATCAACAGCAAATTATTGAGAATTATGTCATTACAGGAGAACTGGATTCCCAAGTCTAAAATGGAGACTAAACGCTACTAAAGCTAATAGTCAAAGATATAACTGGGATATTTTTCTTTCAAAATTCCCATCACTCTGAACTGACAAAAGGTGGGGCTGTTTTAGAATCATTTATAGTAGAAATGAAGATACTACTGTTCCGCTGGTTTTAAAAAACCAACTGCGAATATAATGATCATGAGACACTTGAAATTAAAAGTAAAGCTATTTTAAATATGTAACTAAGATTTATAATTTCAGATTAGCAAATTTGAGAAATGACAAAGAACCTCTAGGCACCTTCTATAATTGGTCCTGTATGCAATTTTTGGAGATTATTTGGCTATTGCTACTTCATTAAAAGTCAAAGTACAAAGAAAAACCCAACCAAACAAACCAGTCCCCAAGGAAGCTGAAAAAAATTGTATAGGAAAATGCTTGAGGGACAGCTAGATGAATAATTTCAAGAAGAAAAATTAAAATGCCTTTAAGGATTGGAGAAAGGATTTCATCCCAACAAAAGGTACCATTTTTGGTAGCCTGTAGATGAAAGTGCAGGGTAAGAGAGACAGTAACACTGAGCTATATGTTGCAAAAGAAATTAAACTATAAATTTATAACTTTTTTTCCCCTGCTATAAAAACGAGTACAAGAAGGAGGGCATTACACAGGAAAGCAAGACTAAAGACAGTATTTCCAACAAGGAGGATAATGTAGAGCACAGTGGCAGGATAGCTAACAGCAAAGAAGACATACCAATGAGAGGGAACTCACAGCTCACTGAGTTAAACTGAGCTTAACTTAATGTGGTGTTAAATAACATTCATTCAGAAGTACTGAGAACTGAAACCTGAAATTGCATGACAAGTAGCACAGAGGTTTTCTGAATTTTTCAGCATAAAAAATGGAACCATATGACTGAAAAAACAACCACCTTTGTTTCCAAAGCTCTGAAAAGGATAAGTTGTCCATGCACCTAGAAAGCTCTTAATCTAACTTCAAGAGCGTGCCAGGCTTGGGAGGAAATTTTGAAGACAACTGCTTTATAGACATGAGAAATAGAATGAAGTAAAGCACTCTTTCACCTAATGTCTTTCATAAAAAAGAGATTTTCTTAACAGGGGAAATAGATTAGAGCTTATTAGTCTATGTTTAAATAACAATTGAGATAGTGCTGCAGCAAAGTTATGAAATAAGTCAGAAATTTGGCTTGTACCTGAACTATATGGTGAATAAAGAAACAACCACAGGAAAGCCAACAACCTTAGGATACAGCATTGCAAACTATTACAGCATTGCAACATCACTTCCATGCTGCAGACATCAAAGTAGGATCAGATAGGACTATACTTTGGGTACTCTGGATAACCAGATCAAAGTTGGATGAAGCCAAAAGTAAAAAAGGTAATGTACTTAGAAACAAGTAGTAACATAGTCCATAAACTGAGAACTAATGAGATGAAAAACATATGCATATTAGCAGGCATAGTTATATTTTAAAAGAACTGAGTCAGTTTAGCTAAACTGTCCTCTAGTGAAAATACAATTGTTCTCTGTAGCTATAGGGA